CGTCAATAGGATGATAAGTCCACAAAGTTGCTCCAATCGCAACACAAATCTTGTCATGTTAACAATAACACCTCTGACAAAATCAACTTATCGACTCTCGTCAATAGAGCGATAGGTCTTCAAAGTTGCTCCGATCGCAACGTTCTCTTGTCACGTTAATATCAAACACCTCTGACAAAATCAACTTATCGACTCTCGTCAATAGAGCGATAGGTCCTCAAAGTTGCTCCGCGTCAAGTTAATATCACACCTCTAACGACATAATCAACTTATCGACTCTCTTCAATAGAGCGATAGGTCCATAAAATACTGTTAGGTTAACATCACACCTCTAACAGTCAAACCTCCCAATGAACTTGTTAATCCTTTTTCAATAAGAATAGCAAGTTATCATTATAAAATCCCCAACGGATTAAAGATTTTCTGAAGTTATCCCAGTGATAATAAAGAAAATTTCTGAATTTCACTCTAAGTGAAAATTCATGCCAAGTTAATATTACACCTCTGGCACTTTCAACTTTCTTTCAGTGTTTCAAGTAACACAGGAAGAAATAACGACAAAGTCCACGTATTCAACATCGTGACAGGTTGTTATTAATAACACCAAAATCCATGCCTCACACGCATTCGATCCCTAATTAGAGATAAGCCTACGCCTAACATGCGTTGCCGGTTAGTCGTTTCCCGTGAAAATGACAAAGTCTATGCATTCAAAATCATAGCATCAAGTCTAAGAGGGTTCATTCTCTTAGCACAACGTTACATGTGGAACGGACTTAGACAATCCACATGCTAGCCCGACTCAAACGGTAGTCGGTAAAGGCTTATCAAATCCGTTGATGGCTGAGGGTTTGCCAAAAATCCTATGCACGTTTGCAGGTCCATCAGCTTAATGGATGTGAGCCGAGACTTAAAACAGATGAGCCAAAGACAAGTCTCAAAGACTTAGTCAAAAATGCACGGAAGCCACTTCCATGTCTCAAGAGCAAATTTCGGTGGGATGAAGAATCCTTCTGTGGTACGCACAGTAATTTGGATCCGTAATCATCTTAGCTCCATCCTGATCTTTAATAGGTGGTAGCTCGATTTTGTCATTAGCGAGGAGGTATTCCAATATGGCTGGAGCTTCATCCTCTTCGAATGAATATTCTTTTTGAAACTTCGGATCGAAAGTTGCGTTCCCAATGATTGCAGATGTCATTTGTTGGCCTTTCTCAGCTTCCTTTCTTTTAAGAAAGTGTTCAGCTTGTTCGCCACGAAATTTTAACTCCTTCCAAGTTGTGGACGGCTCAACCCCCAAAGCTTCCAAGACATCGATGGAGAGGTTATTGTGGCATGTTTGCAGGATGAACTCCTCTGTAATAGGATCTCTGCAATTCATCGCCATGTTACGGAAACGCTTGACAAAATTGTCGACTGACTCTCCGTCTTTTTGCTTCTCATCCAAAAGGATTCCGATTGACACTTCGGTGTCATCATCGAAGAAGTTGCTGAGGAACAAACTTTCCATGTCATCCCAGCAATTGATGCTCCCTGGCTTGAGCCGTCGGTACCAATCGAAGGCGGGCCCACGAAGGGTGCCAACGAATGACCGGATCATTAAGGCCTCGTTTCCAGAGATTATGCCCAAATGAGACTTGAAATAAATCAAGTGTTGAATCGGCGAACTCTTCCCTTCAAACGGTGTGAAGTTAATCAGATTGAATTTGGTCGGGTATGGTATTGAATCCCATTCCCTCGGATAAGGACATGGAATACCCGTCTTCTTAACTTCTTGAGCCGTCATCAAAGCATTGATTTTGTCTTCAAGTTTTTGCATTTTCCCGTCATCGTCTTCATTTCTTTCTGAATGATGTCGAGTAAAGATAATTGGACCACCCCCAGTGAGAGGTGCTATTGAACCACCCCCAATATCGTTATTGGGAGGATCCGTTAAACCACCCCCAGCGTTATTGCCATTGGGAGGTGTATCAGCCATAATGACTTCATCCACCTCTGGATCACTGTCATCTACAACATTCCGAGTGTGGTGGCTGGATTCAAATCGCTGATTGGACTCAGGAGGTTGAGGCTGTTGAGTTAACAGTTCTCTCATTTGTTGGATAGCCAACTTCATTTCTGTCTTCACTTCAGCTCTAATTTCTTCACGTTGTTTGGCTAGAGCTTCCTGAAGTATTTGAGTGAACTGATCAGCAGTGATTGTGAATACTTCTCTGATTTGTCCTGTGCTAGACATTGTATCATCAGAAGCGATTGCAGAATAAGTGTCCGAGAATTCATCCTCCGAGGACATTCCTTCTTGCATTCTCTTGTAGTCTCTGCGTCTGATAGCTCCTAATTGGAGTCGAGACATCCTTTGAGCAATTCTTGGATTGACTTTTCCTTTCGGGGAAAAGTCGGGATTTGAGTCACTTGAATGCTGTTTAGACTTTCTTCTATCAGCCACGTTGATGGTGACTTCAGGGAATTCATCATTTTGGACAGCTGCTCTTCTTTTGCGGAAATGTCTCGGCTTAGGTTTCGATAATACAGAGACTTTTCGTGGGATGACTTCTCGTTTGAAACAGTCACATTCTGATAATGCTGTTTTGACGAGTCGTGCACAGGAACAACGAGAGTTTATCTCTCGAATAACTCTCTTTCGAAAATTATTCACAACTTCAACTTGATAATACGATTCATCGGTATGATTGCCAAAAAATCGTATCGTCTGTTGGTATGATCTCCCAGGTATGACGATATCATTTGGTGAATGCGTCTTCTTCTGGGGGTATAAAACCTTGTTGGCATTCTCAGGACAATTTATTTTTGTCTTTGAGCGATCCAAGGTTATGTTGGGAGTCGCACGTCTGAAACCACCCATTTGCGGGTATGGGGTCTTAACGGGCTCCGAATGCTGATTTTGCATAAGTCCAGACTTTGGAATCCAAACTTGACGAAGTTTTGGTGATTCTTTGGTCACCATTTCCTTTCTCTTTTCTCGTCTTTGTTGTGAGAGAGCATGGGCATTAGCAGCTTTTGCACGACGTTTTTGTATACGTTCTTTGAGGGTCGAACGAGTCTTTTTGACAATAGTCCATTCATCCGTCGTTGTTTTAGCAGAGATACGAGTGATTGGTTGTTGGTGAGTTTAGCAGAGACATGAGTGATTGGTTGTTGAGACAACTGAACCATTCGATGTCTCCTCGACTTTAGGTCCGCGTGATAACGAACCCCGTCGGTTTGTTCCAAGGCCTTAGCCATTTGGCGAGCACGGCGTTGGCGTTGTCTCTGACGAGCTCTTTTCGTCAATGCCGGCGGGCTTTGATTTAATGACTCTTTAACTAGATAAGAGCCATTGTGAGCAGAGGTATTGCGAGTGAAATTCTCATGAAATCTTCCTGCATTTGCGAGGCAAAGAAGATTTTACAGATGAGAATAACAAATACTCCTCGAACTTCGCTTGGTCGAACTCGTACTCGACTGTTGATTCAACCAGGATCTTGATGGTTGGTTGCGACACGACGGTCTCGGCAGCGAGACCGTTGGCTCCCACTGTGGTCGCCAATTTGTTTTCGCCAAAAGTCGAATTTGTTGTCGAATTCATTATATTTTCGGTCGATTACAATAAATTCAAAGAAAACAGCCTTTTTATAAGACTCTTTTACACAACAAAAAGAAAATTACAACTCTTGAGAAAATAAACGCAGGATCGTTGTTTGGATCACTGCTTTCGTGGGATCTTTGCCTGTGCCGGGAGCGCTTTGACTCGTGGACCACCAAATCACAGATTCTGATTGAACCGTGAGGGGTTTATGATTCTGACTTCGTTTATCGAAGTGAGAAATTGAAACGATATCTTATCGATGTAAGATAGTCGTTCTTCTTGAAATCAAGTCAAAGCCTGATTATCAAGGATTGGCCGTAAGATCAGCACCTCTGCTCTCTCTCTGCTCTGGATTGCTCTGGATTGCTCTGAAGTACTCACAATGATCAGCCCCCTGGAAAAATGGCCTTAGGAGGGTATTTATAACCTCCAAGAACAGTTGGCAGAAAACAGGTTCGCGAGACAGCTTTTGCTGTCTCGACGGGCGAGACAGTGTTTGCTGTCTCGCCCCGCGAGACAGTAAATACTGTCTCGGAAACAGTAACCGCAGGCAGTTTTCGTTTTAACTGCCTTCCCACGTTTCAAACTCCGTTATTTTGGCAGTTATCCACGTGATTCTCGCCCACGACGTTTCCCACGTTCTTGAACAGTTAGTGGCACGTGTAGGGGCAGTTGCAAAGGTAGTTTTGACCATCTGAAAACTGTCTCACGTGCAAGACAGTAAATTCTGTCTCGCACGGCGAGACAGCAAAGACTGTCTCGCGTGGGCGAGACAGTAAAAGTCTGTCTCGCCCGCGAGACAGTAAAGACTGTCTCGCACGGCGAGACAGTAAAGACTGTCTCGCGCGGCGAGACAGTCAAGTCTGTCTCGCACGGCGAGACAGTCAAGACTTGTGTTCTTCTGCCTTTTTGGATGATTTCCTCTTGAGCTGTATTTGGATATCTTTCAGCATTTTTTTGACGCCTACACTGGGGAAGGGACGAGTGCCCATGCTACCCAAGTCATCACTGGCGGGTACGAGTTGAGCTGATAATTAAGATGGAACACGTGTCGACTCCAAGAGGAGGATTAACACTTGGGTTAAATGATGACATAACAGAACTAAATGACACCATCCAGTTTTTCTCATGAATATTCTGGTGAATTAATTAAACTTAGTTGGAACAAAATGACACAATTTAGTTTTTTTTTTATCATGAATGTTCTCGTGAATTAATTTACGCGTAGCGTGTTTAACATGTATATAACATCGATCTTAAAATAACTTCCGTCCAACTCACTTAAGGTCGTCATGTAAAATAAAAAGCTAAAGGGTTGTTTGCAAATCTCCCAAAGTTTGGGACCATCATGCGAAATCCACACTTCATTTAATACCACTCTCTCTTTTCCCCTAATCCCTTCTTCATTCTGTTCCTCTCTCTTCCAAAATCAAATCAATTAAAAAGAAAACAAAAACAAAAAGAGAGGGGGAGAGAAGGAAGGGTGGGGGAAAAAAATGGCGGATTGGGGCCCGGTGGTGATAGCGGTGGTGCTGTTCGTGCTCCTGACGCCTGGACTTATTTTCCAGTTGCCTGGAAACAGCCGATTCGTTGAGTTTGGCAACATGGGGACGAGTGGGCTCTCCATATTAGTCCATGCCATCATATATTTTGGGCTTATTACTATTTTCCTTATTGCTATTGGAGTCCACATCTACACTGGCTAAATTTCCTCTTTACCTGTTGATTTTGATCTTTGTGTGGTTGGTTGTGTAATGGCTTTAATGAAGATGATATGAAATGGGTTTAGGTTACAGTGGTTTGTTTGCTGCTGATGGGTTGCATATATGATCGATGATGATGCTGGTTTCGTTATCTTTGATTCTCTGGTGCTTACTGGACGTTGATCTTTCCCCCTCTCTCTCCGATACATAAAAAATGATTTTTCGAACATGTAAAGAAAAGTTGAGAGACGAGTTAAAAAAAGGAAAAAAGGAAAAACCCATACTCCTCATTAAGTGAATCTTCTTGAAAACGGATGAATTACCAAATTGGTTTTTTAATCCCTTAATTAGCCGCTTGGATATTAAAAGTTAATCAAAAGTGCACTTAGACATTTTTTTTCCTTTTCCCCACCGCTAGTCAAATTCTTCGCGTGTAAGTAGCACGAGAAACTAGGTTATATAATTTTAGATGGAAAAATTCTTTAAGGACCCAAAATATGGGACCAATAAAGGGGACAAGTGAGGTGTTCCCCTCCTATTGGATAGTGAGTTGGCCATCATTAATGATGGCCAACTCATTATCCAATAGGAGGGGAACACCTCACTTGTCCCCTTTATTGGTCCCATATTTTGGGTCCCTGTAGCAAAACTCTTTTAGATGAAGTGACTATTTTAGGGCCTGTTTGTTTCACCAATTTTATGGAATAGGAATGGTATTTGGACTTGACAATAACGTTTTCGTAATTAATGGATTCCAAGTGAATCCTAATCTTGAGTTTGGTTCAAATTTTTTTTTATAGAATTGCTAATTTATAAAGTGGCTCAAATAGTGTATATTTCAGGAAATCCAAATCCAGTCCATTTGTTAGGAATTGGATGGAATTTCTGACACCTCTCCTCTTTTTCATTCTGATTCCTAATCCTATTCCTAATCCTTTGGGTGAAACAAACATAGAATACAAAAAAATAGGATTCCATAAAACTAAAACTTTTCTATAAATTTTTTATGGATTAGATTAAAATCCATAAATAAAATAAAATTTCTAATCCTATTTCTACCCTCTATTGAACCAAACATGCCCTTAGAGCATCTCCAACAGCTTCCTCATTTTTCATTTTTGGAGAATTTAGTTAGGTTTTTGGTCCAACAGATTCCCCATCTCATTCCCCAAAATAGGGATGGAGGAGAAAAAATGGGGAAGCTTCCTCAAATCTGCAGCATTCTCCAAATTTTTGGAGGAAAAAAAAGATTCTTCAAAATGGGAAAACTATTGGAGTTGGTGTAAAAATAATTTGAAGAATATGACTTTTGATTTCCTATTTTAGAAAAAAATTTGGAGAAACTGTTGGAGATGCCCCTAGAGTCAGTGTTACCACCGCTTAAATCTTTGCTTCGTTATCTAGAATCTGTCCAGGCCATCCAAAGCAACCGAACATTGGAGGTCACGTGATACGTGCTTATTACGCACACAAAATTTGACTGACAGCGGGGGGAAAAAAGGTCTTTTAAGTGTACTTTTGATTGATTTTTTTAATATTCAAAATTGTTTAAAAATGGACGAAGTAAAATAAGTATTAAAAATTTGAATTCCAATCGGCACTTTGTACTATGTCCTATTTGAAACTTGGTATTGCCCATGCTTGTAGCCTGGTGATGGTGAAGGGTAACAATAGCACCGAGGACCGTAACCTATGGTTGTCGATACCGGGGGCAGGCAGATTTAGGTATCATATCCCCTATCTAGGCCTTCAGGCTGCTACCTACTACAGCGATATGACATCCACGCCGTCTTCAACAAGAAAAATGGCAATTGAAAGATAAAAGGCTAACCACACTTAAATATCCTTTATAGTCCCCCCCCCCCCCCCCCCCGCCCACACCTAGCTAGTTGCACTTACGTGCCTTATCCTGTTTTTAAATGAGAATTTTCTTCCGGTTTTTCCCGTGTGACGCATGCATGCTAATTTTACCACTCTTTTAGTCTTCAATGGTCTCAACACGCAGGGTTTATAGTGCGATAAAACTGCGGCCTCTATTTGAATTAATGCAACATAAGGAGCTTGAGGACTATATTATGATCCAAAACATCTTCCTTCTGGCAATTCATTAAATAGAAGCCCATGATTACTTGATCGCTTTCACCTAGTCGTAGTCGGTTTTGGTCAGTTAAAGTTTGTCTGGGTCGAGAGCCAAGAACTGTCTAGATTTAATTTAATTAAACTAATCGCTTCATGAGGTGGGGTGGGGGCTTGGGATTAGGGACGCACTCCATCCAAATACGGCTTGAATATAATGTTTATCATATTCATATCCACTTACCTATCTCGTATACAAATACGGATACAGATACAAATATATCTCAGTAAGGAAAATCCATATTCATATTCCCTAAAGGCGGATATGGAAATAGATATACATACGGATACTTAAGCAGATATGCATGCGAATACGAAGCGGACATGAGAAAAATAGATGATATTGAAGAAAATATAGTTCATATAATAAAAAGTGTTCATTAATATATACATTATATTTGAAAAGCTAAGATTAGATATTTTGATAACTAAAATTCGACTCAAATCCATAATCTAAAGATTAAATCAACTATAACAGTATGACTAATATATATTCAAATATTTTGAATATGAATTTATATATTTTACTGTAAAATTATATATCATTAACTATATCTTATCAATTATAAATTTGAGTAACTATATTCGTATGCTAACCCGTATAGTGACAGTTTTTTATGGGATACGAATATTAATTTAACACGCCTGCTTGGGATGCTACAGATAGGCGAAGGTGGTGGGCCGTGATCTCGTCCAGGGCATGGCCAGCTGAGGCTTTGTAGAAGGATTTAGCGGATCCGTAAACGGCACGGTCCACTGATTCCAGACAATTGATCCCATATGAAATTCAAGTACTCCTTTCACGTGCTATTCATTGTTCATGAGTTCGAATTTGCCTTCAAAGCTCAAACAAGAGAATTCATTTATGTCTTCATTTTAGAAATTGCACGGTTTATATTGTTTAAATAGTAACCATCAATTAAACAAGGGAAAATTCTGTCAAGACTTCAATATAAAGAATCTTATGTGAGTAGTCCCTTTCAATCTTTCCCCACAGTGGCTTAGACCAAACACAAAAAAAAAAAAAAAAAAAAAAATA